GAGTCTCCTGCCTCTGCCTCCCAAGTAGCTGGGACCACACGCACCGGCCACAACGCCTGGCTATTTTTTGGTTGCAGCTGTCATTGTTGTTTGGCGGGCCCGGGCTGGATTCGAACATGCCACCTTAGGTGTATGTGGCTGGTGCTTTAGCCACGTTAGCCATAGGCGCTGAGCCGGAACTAATGTTTTTTTAAAGAACTCACCACAGGCTCCGTGCCTGTAGCTCAAGTGGCTAAGGCGCCACCCACATAACACCAGACCTGGCAGGTTCGGATCCAGCTCAGGTGGGCCAAACAACAATGACAGCTACAACCAAAAAATAACAGGGCACTGTGGTTGGGTGCCTGTAGTCCTAGCTACTTGGTAGGCTGAGGCAAGAGAATCGCTTAAGCCCAGAAGTTGGAGGTTTCTGTGAACGCCACAGCACTCTACCCAGGGCAAGAGCTTAAGGCTCTGTCTCAAAAAAAATAAAAATAAAAAGAACCCACCACAGCCTTGGCCCTGTGTTGGGGATTCAGTGTCTAACAAGGCACTACAGAACGACTGGCAGAAACCAGGAGGCTTTTGGAATAATCCATTTAGCCAGTACAGTCATGCATCACTTAATGACAGGGATATGTTCTGAGAAATTCATCAGTAGGTGATTTAGTTGTATGAAGATCATAGAGTAGGCTCAGCGCCTGTGGCTCAAGTGGCTAAGGTACCAGCCACATACACCTAAGGTGGTGGGTTCAAATCCAGCCCGGGCCCTCCAAACAACAATGATAGCTGCAACCAAAAAAAATTGCCAGGCATTGTGGCAGGCGCTTGTGGTCCCAGCTACTTGGGAGGCAGAGGCAGGAGACTCACTGGAGCCTAGGAATTGGAGATTGCTGTGAGCTGTGATGTCACGGCACTCTACCAGGGGGACAGTTTGAGTCTCTGTCTCAAAAAAAAAAAAGATCATAGAGTATACTTACACAAACCTAGATGGTTAGCCTGCTATACACTTAGGCTAGGCTATGAGCCTGTACAGCATGTGACTGTACTGAATACTATAGGTAATTATTACACAGTGGTATTTGTATATCTAAATTTATCTAAACATAGAAAAAATACAGTAAGAAAATATGGTATAAAAGATTTTTAAAAATTGTGTAACCTGTATTGGGCATTTACTGTTAACTGTGAATGGAGCTTACAGGATTGGAAGTTGCTCTGGGTTAATCAGTAAATAAGCAGTAAGTGAATGTGAAGGCCCACGACATTACTGTATGCTACTGTGCACTTTATAAACACTGTATACTTAGGCCATACTAAATTTATTTAAATTTTTTTCCTTCATTAATAATAAATTAACCTTAGCTTACTATGACTTTTTAACTTTATAAACTTGTTAATTTTTAAAAACTTTTATAATAACACTTAGCTTAACACACATTGTACAGCTATACAAAAGAATTTTCTCTATGTCCTTATTCAGTAAGTTATTTCTGCTTTTAAATTCTTTTTTCTACTTTTTAAGACTTTGTTTAAAATGAAAACACAAACATGCACATTAACCTAGGCTTACACAGGATCAACATCACCAATATTGTCCTACTGGAAGGTCTTCAGTGGCAGTAACAGGCATGAAGCTGTCATCTTCTATGACAACTATACCTTCTTCTGGAATATCTACTGAAGGACCTGCCTGAGGCTGTTTTACAGTTAACTTTTTTTTTTACACAACTAGAAGGAGTACTCTCTAAAATAATGATAAAAAGTATAGTATAGTAGGGCCAGGTGCAGTGGCTCATGCCTGTAATACTAGCACTCTGGGAGGCTGAGGACAGTGGATTGCTTGAACTCAGGAGTTCAAGATCAGCTGGAGCAACAGTGAGACCCTGAAAAACTAGCCACGCATTGTGGCAGGTGCTTGTAGTCCCAGCTACTGGGGAGGCTGAGGCAAGAGGATTGCTTGTGGCCAGGAGTTAAAGGTTGTTGTGAGCTCTAACAGCACGGCACTCAAAAAAAAAAAAGTATAGTAAATACATAAACCAGTAACATAGTCATTTATTGTCATTATGAAGTATTAGGTACCATGTATAATGGTATGTGCAATACTTTTATATGGCTGCCAGTGCAATAGGTTTGTTTATACCAGCATCACCACAAAGATGTGAGTAATTTATTGTCCTGTGATGTTATAACAGCTACCACGTCACTAGGCAATAGGAATTTTTCATCTCTGCTATAATCTTATGGTACCACCATCATATATGCAATCCATCCTAGGTAGGAATGTTGTTATACCATATATGACTGTACTTACTGAGTGCCCACAATGCAAAAGGCACTGGGATACAACATTAAACAAAACTGGCAAACACGGTCCCGTCTTATGGGGTTTAGAGTCCAGTAAGGGAGATTGATAAGAAGAATGTGTAAATTTTACATAGTGAGATGGTGATAAGTTCTAAGGAGAAAAGTAAGCAAGGGGATAGACAAATGGAGGAGTGGGTGATGAATTCAGATAGTAGCAAAGGTTGGCCTTCCCAAGAGGGGCGTTTAACTATAGACACGGAGGAGATGAGGGAACAAACTACATCCCACATGTCCCATACCTGAGGACAGAATTTTCCTGGCAGAGGGGATAATAAGAGCCAAAGCCTATGGCTGGTGTGGAGTGGGGGAGGGGAAGAGCAAGAGAGGGTAAATAAAATAGGGTGGTCTGAGCCTTGTAGACCAGGCTTTGACTTCTCTGAATTATAAGAGAAGCCACTGGGGTTTGAGCAGAGGGTAACATAATTTCTTCTAATTTTAAGAGTATCACTATGCATAACCAGGATATTAGAATAAAATAGGTTGCAGAAACAAGGAGACCGGCTCGGCGCCTGGGGCTCAAGCGGCTAAGGCGCCAGCCACATACACCTAAGGTGGCGGGTTCAAATCCCCAGCCCGGGCC